CCCCTCCCCCGCGCTAGCCTTCCGGTGACCCCAGCCCCCCCGCGCGCCCCCAGGCCCATGCGTGGGTCCCCGCGGCGGCTCCGTGCGCCGAGCGTCTCGCCCGGTTTCCGGCGCTCGCCCTTCTGCCTCCGGCTGCGCGCCCTGCCCAGCTCAACCAGCGTCTCCGCAGAGTAACCGCTGCCCGGGTTCAAGACCCGCTGCCGCCGCCAGCTTAGGTTCCGCCCTCAGGCGGGCTACGCAGCATCCCCAGGCCTGTTTCCTGAAGGAAACCCCCAGAGGGTAAACTGGAGTTCAACTGAGTAATCCCGGGGAGACGGCCTGGTTTCAGCCGATCAGGCTAAGTCGTCTGCGCGAGCCCTGGTCCCAGTTCTGGAAACTGCAAGCTCTGGGAAGCTCTGTGCAAAGGGGTTACCAGGGAAAGTCATCTTCTAGCCTGTGCTCCAGGGGCAGCATCGGGGCGCCTTCCTGCCCGTTGCTCTGTTGTGCCAGCCCCGCTTCACGTGGAAGGCGGCGATATGTAAGTGATAAAGACGCCGCCTTCCATCGTCTGAACATGTGAATATATAGGTTCCATCCCAACTCCAGATTTATGATCCCAGACATGAATGGACCTGGATGACAACAGCTTTTTCTTTCTCAGTTGTTCGTAAAAATCACCAGTCCTCCTCTCTAAGTAGTGGGAGAAAGGGTGACTGCAGGCAGTATTCCGCATCTCGAAGGAAGACCACACGTTAAGAGAAGAGGGATGCTGTTCCAGGAGGGAAAAGGCCAGGACGCGCGCCAGCTTGGTGAAAGGCCTTCGCTGCGTCCCTTGGGAAGTGGAGGCTGGATGCTGTTCCCAGACACCTGGAGACTGGGCTTGGGAGTACCTCTCAGGCCAGACCTTTGATCTCTCGCTGCGGCCCTTCCCACGACCAAGCCCTGCGCCTCTCTGCCCAGAACCTTCTTCAAAGCAGCTGGGCTGGATCAATACAGATGCTGGAAACAGGAAGAGCCTCAGTGTGCTCCGCTTCACACGTCATAAACCACACAAAGAACCCAACTTCCTAGCCCTCTCCCCTCTCTTCCCTGTAGCTCAGAGACCTCCAATATGTGTTACCTTATTCTTAGCAGAAACAGAGCATACGATCATTTTAAAGCCCTTTAGCATGACCGAGTCCATTTCGTCTTAAGCTCGGTTTTCCTAGACAGAGAAACAAAACTCCGTCGAAATAAAGGAGCTTCTACCTCCAGAATTACACTGCATTTAGTGAGGCAGCCAGGACCAGGACCCAGGGCGAGAGGCTTAGTACTCTTCAGACCACCCCCCCCTCAGTCCCACAGGTGGTGTGGACTCGGGGGTAACTAACGGGTGAAGTTGCTGAGCTGGGTCCCACATGCAGTGTCCTTCCTGTGTGTTCAGGAAGTGCTCTCAGCTGGTCCCAGGCAGAGTAGAAGTGTGGTGGAGGCAGGACTTTGAGGGCATACTCACTGTGGAATGAAAAAGGGTGATGTGAATTCCTCTGGGAGTTACAAAAACAGAATGATGTTAAGAAAGGTGGGGTGATTGATGAAGTCTAGACTGTACACCCATCACCAACTAAAACAGCCTTGATAGTGTTGTTGTTGTTTTTTTTTTTTTTAGGTAGGAAAGGGGGTGGCAGACTCTCCAAGAACAATCTTGGGAAATTTAGTTTGCATTTACTCCCCTCCCCCAGCCTCCTAAATCATCGCCCTCTGACAGCCGACCCATCCCAGCAGATGGAGGAGGGGGAGGTGAGGAGAACTTGCACTAATGCCCATCAGAAGTGGGAGCCACAATTCTTCTCTCTGAATTGGGGAGGCAGAGTGGCAGCCAGGAGCCCCTCCTTGAAGGGTGAAGGGTCTCCTGTACAGAACAGGTGCCTAATCTGAGGTCTCTTTGTAAAGCCCTCCTTCTCCAGAAGGAGTAGACAGGATGGGGGCCGGGGACACTGGGACTTTGAGGGCAGTAGGTGGGAATTGCCAGGCCCCTGCCGTCAGACTTGGTCCCAGTCCACACTGAGGCTTAATGCTCTGCTGGGATGAGAGCGTCAACGTCTCTGAATCTGTACTCTGTGAAATGGAGATGATGAAATTCTTTATCTGGTGTCATACGGAAGATTGAGGAAGATAATACTAGAAAGCTCATGGCACATAGTAGGTGTTCAAGAAATGTGAGTATACCCCTCTCTCCACTTAGCGGCAGGCCTGCATTTTTACCACCACAAAGAGATATTACCTGAAAACAAGACAAACGCCATGTAAACACTGTCACTTCTATTTAAGGTGAATCTTGGTTCTTGCAAAGCTAACAACATGTAACAGTTGCTGCCATATCCACTGCTATCCTCCTGATCTTCCAACTAGTGGGTCTCAGGACTACCCTGTTAGAATGAAAAAGAAACAAGGCTCTCCAACGTAACCATAACTGCTGCGATCACCCCTCACGTGGACAAAAGCCTTTTGAAGGGAAACTATACTGAGCCCTATATTTATGTTTAAAAAAAAATCCCACTTGTAGCAATCTGACCTGCTGATTTTAAAGTTTACCAGGCCCTGATTTTTTTCTCGGTCCTCTGCCCCTCCCACAGCCCCCTTCCTGTCCTTTATTCGCCTCTCACCTGCATGGGAAGCCAGGCTTCCAGAACCCGAACTCCTCAAATCTCTGCCTGGGGAAGGTGACTGGGTCTAATAAAGCTGTGGACCAAGCCTGTTGGTGGTAGGCGCTGAATTCCTGCCTGTTGGTTCTTTCAGCTTCAAAAAAGCCCTTGGAAGTGCTTTCACTGTAAATATTTGATGTGCATGTATGAGGGTGGAAGTGAAGTCTGGATTCTCACTCCACCAGCTAGCTCAGCCAAGGGAAGCCCCTTCCTCTGATTTCCCAGGAACTGCAGGAAGGAGGAGAGAAACTAAATTTTCCTGCCTAGGGCCTGGGGGCTAGGAGGACCAGAGTGACAGGCCTCGGATGACTCCTGCCTCCCATGTGGGGCCTTCTTGGGCCGAGATGGGTCTCTTGCATGCCTACCAGTGGTGTCCTTCAGCAGAGAGAAAGGGCTCCGTCACTGAGGACCTGCTCCACGGCAGGTGGGCAACGTCTCCAAGCCAGCTGGGGTCTCCCAGGCGGGACCACCAGACTCTGCCCTCTCACCTTGACAGGGAGGGGCTGAGTTGAGGATCTGCGGAAGGCAAGTTCACACACACACCACCTGAAACGCAGGGAACTTCCCAGAGTAGGTGAGAAGGTTCGACCTGAAGAAGCCTGGCGACAGGGACACAAAGCGCTCCTGTGGGTCCTGGAGACCCAACAGCGGGACTTGGGGACCAGAACAGTCTTCACTGTGCGGTCGTCACTGAGCAGAGAGCTAGATCTGGAAGCAGGGGTGGCTCCCCTTGAAGAAGTGGACAAACTTAAGTGCTGGCGCGGAGGAGGGAGTGAACGCGCCCTAGTGACACTAGCCCAGAGCGGGACGGCGTGTGTAGAGCTGTACTCGGGCACCGTGGCCCACACGGACCCCGGAGGTTGCCAGCGCCCGCCGAGCGGCTCAGCACCCGCAGGAGGGCGAGCAGGCACCCCAGGCTGCGCCCCTGGCCGCCGTCCCCGCCCCGCCTTCGCGGCTCGACACCCCGGGCTGTTTAGGACCCCGCGGCGCAGGGGCGGGGCGGCAGGCGACCCGGACGGTGACAGGTGCGCCCCTCGGCCAATGGCGGGGCTGGAGCCCCTCCCCAAGCCCCCGCCGCACGCGCCAATCGGCGGCCGCGCTGCGCTTCAAGTGCGCGGAGGGGCGCGGGTCCCCACCACGGCGCCAGCGGCCTCGGCGCGGTCGCCTGAGGGCTGCAGCGCTGAGCCGGGCTCTTGGGCCCCGGCGCGCCGGAGCACTCGCGTGGGAGTTAGTGCGAGCGCGGGCGAGCGCGGCCCGGGGCGGGGCCGGCACGGAGGAGGCGCCCGGACCATGGTCACCCTCGGCTGAGTTTCCGGCGGCGACTTTGATTACTGGCAAATAATCGTAACAATACCGAGCCTTGGGGCTGCCACCGCCACCCACCGACGCCGCGAGCCGGCACGCGGCCGCATCACTCACCGCCGAGCCCTGAGCGCCAGCCCCTAACGAGCTGATGGAAAAATCTAAAAATTTCCGCATCGACGCGCTGCTGGCCGTGGACCCCCCGCGAGCGGCCTCGGCGCAGACCGCTCCGCTGGCCCTGGTCACATCGCTCGCGGCCGCTGCAGCTGGCCCCGGCGGCGGCGGCGGCGGCGGCGGGGCAGGCAGCGGGACGAGCCGCAGCTGCA